CATGGATGGCACAGTCCCCTTTAGTTATCAAATTTAAGATATATAGTTTTGTTTATAGTAATATAGCTGGAATATAACTATGTCAGGAATATGATTTTTTTAACATTAAAATGATTGACATTTGTATCTGATCGTCAAACAAAAAATTGATCTGGAACAGCATTCAAAATCAGCCATTTTGAATACATGTATATATATGACATGATGTATAATGAATATATGAAATTTGAATATAATCAGTCAAAGCATTTAAGAGATATGGCTCTAGAAGCCCAATCATTAAAACAAAATGGCCGCCAGTCAGCCATTTTGAATCCAATCTGAAAAATAAAATGACATGCATTAGGAACCCGTAATGTCTAATGTATGTACCAAGTTTGAACGAAATCCACCCATAAATGCTTGATATTTTATGATTTTTTTAGCACAAAAATGACCACCATTCTGCCATTTTGAATAGAATAGTCAAACCAATATATCTGTTTTTCTATGACATGATGTATAATGAATATTTAAAATTTGAACATATAATCAGTCAAAACAAGTCTGAGATATGGGTTTAGAAGCCCACTCATTAAAACAAAATGGCTACCAGACAACCATTTTGAATCCGATCTGAAAAATAAATGATGTGCATCAGGAACCTGTAATGTCTAATATATGTGCCAAGTTTGAACGAAATCCATCCATAAATGCCAGAAATGCTTGATATTTGATGATTGTTTAGCACAAAAAAGGCCACCATTTGGTCATTTTGAATAGGATCATGATGTTATAATGAATATTTAAAATTTGAACATAATCAGTGAAAGCAAGTCAGAGATATGGCACGAGAACCACATTCATTAATACAAAATGGCCGCCAGTCGGCCATTTTGAATCTTATCTGAAAAACAAAATTATTTGCATCAAGGTCCCATAATGTCTAATGCATATATCAAGTTTGAACAAAATCCATCTGTAAACAGCCGAGAAATGCTAGATTTTGATGATTTTTAGCACAAAAATGGCCGCCATTCGGCCATCTTGATTCAGATCGTGAAACAAAATGATGTGCATCAAGGTCCTATAATGTCTAATGTATATACCAAGTTTGAACAAAATCCATCTGTAAACAGCCGAGGAATGCTTGATTTTGATGATTTTTAGCACAAAAATGGCCGCTATTCGGCCATCTTGAATCAGATCGTGAAACAAATTCACGTGCATATGTATAATATCATGTATGATGTATGTGTGAAGTTTGATTGTGATTGGTCAAGGCATTTCTAAGATACAGGTCCAGACGCACGCACAGACGCACGCACAGACGCACACACGGAGGTCAAAACATAAGTCCCCGTTTTCGGACTGCGTCCGAACGGGGACTAATAAAATGGTAATTGTTTTGGCACAGTGGCTGTCAGATTAACTCAACTCAATTTCAATATTCAATTTTAAGTTGTTCAACATGACTATTATATGAATATATAAGAATTACAGTCAGAAAATTTTATAGCAGATGTTTTGACATTAAAGTTTACGGAATGACTTTGTCAAGTTATTAAACATTTATCAGAAAATCATGTTTCATTTTTATAAAAGCATGTAAATTTCCACTGGGTTTTAATTTTACTATTTTTGCTGTGAATATGTGAAATAAAAAATAGACCTGGGTAGAAAACCAAAACCAAAACCAAAATTCAAAACCAAGTTACCGGTAGTACTGTAAAAATAGTTAAATCAAATAAAATAACAAGTGAATGCTTTTAGAGAAGCATGCATGCAAGCCACAACAGTGTTCAGTTGATCTTTTCCAGTCTGTTAGTTCGTTAATTGTTTACATTATGAGGGAATGGTAAGTGGTCGGCTCAAGATGAGAGAAAGCAAAAACCAAGCTAAAAATAAATATGATGAGTCTGTTCAATCAAACTATGACATCTGTATCTGGTAGGTGATTCAACGAAGACAAGATGGTTCGGAGAATTTCTACAGAGACTGGGACGCCTATAAGCATGGATTTGGTGATCTGAATGGTGAATTTTGGTTGGGAAACGAACAAATCCACCGACTCACATTGCAAGATAATTATGAAGTACGAATTGACCTAGGTGATACAAGTGGCAAGATGACGTTTGCACTTTATGAACATTTTGGTGTTGCAGCTGAAACAGTCAACTATAAACTCAGCCTGGGTACTTACTTCGGAACAGCAGGTATGGTGCAATACTTTTAGTTGGTTTTTTTAAGCATCCGATCACAGCCCACGTTCACCAATAGTACCGTAAAATCTGTATTAAAAGCCGCATCCCTAATAGAAGTCGCACCCATTCTTTTTGAATAATTGAGAACCCAAAATTCATCGTTTCTCATACGTGTAGGTGCTCTAATAGAAGCTGCATCCAATCTATTGCATTGTACCATTTTAATAGAAGCTACGTTTTTTAATACAGATTTTACAGTACAAACATTTTTTTTTTTATTAATTGGTCCTGAATTAATTCACTCTGGTTTTGAACTACTTTACATGTACCAAGCAGATAAGTGAGCAAGTTTTTTTAAAAAAGTCATTATGAGTGTGATACTGATTCAATGGGGTAGTCAAAGCCACTGATCAAGTTCCAGAAGAGAAACATGCCTTTATTGACGCTGCCCCAGGACATGTTCATGTACCACCATTTATATGATCTGACCTGTGCATATCATTTATAAAATGTACTGATGAAAGAGGAGAGTCAAGTGTGATTGTTGGTTGTGATGGGCATGGTTGACATTGGGTGGTCATGATAACATTATAATAGCGGGGTTCAGTCGAGGGGTTCGTCATGCGCTCATGTGGATGCAGAGTTGCGCTTTAACTGCGCTACTAACTTACAGCACTTTCCAATAAAATATTTCAAGGTAATGTGTGGATGCAGCATTGAAGGTGGAGCATTATACTTTGTAAATTCAAGATGAACAACTCACATGATAGGGGAACAGAAAAATTAGAATTAAAAATTTTTTCCATGTAGTGACATATTTTCAGACTCCTTTGATTCTTCAAAAATTAAGTTCGACGTAAATAATCAAGAAACCTATTTTACGGCACCAGGACTGCATTATGGTATTTGAGCACCAAAATTAACTTGTCTTTATAAAAATAAACCTGCACATTTTTTAAATTTCAAAAATGTATAGGCAATAAAAATGAGGTCCATTGGTTCTAAATTAACCAACAGGTAAAAAAAAAAAATCATAAAATATATACAAAATGTTACACCAACATATTGGCAAGAACAATTATGACATTACAAAGGTTCACATTCTCACTTTAGGTTACCAGGAGAACAAAAATGAAATTTGACATTAACCTTAATTTTACCCACTTAGGTGATTCATTTGGTTCTGATCGCCACCGAAATATGGCATTCTCTACTAAAGACCGAGACAACGACATCTACGATGGTAACTGCGCAAGTCTATACAAAGGAGGCTGGTGGTATGGAGCGTGTCATCACACAAATCTCAACGGCCTTTATCACCATGGCGATAACCCCAATAAATCAGGCGATGGAGTCAGCTGGCAGGCGTGGAGAGGTTTTCATTATTCATTGAAATTTACAGAAATGAAAATCCGGCCGCACAACTTTGATTTACTCAGTGAGTCATAACATTAAGTACGCCAACCCCCACTTGGTTTGTTCGTTCAACATTATATACGTCGTGGCTGATACTGTTTTCTTCCTCCATACTTGTGTCTTAACGTTTCATGTAGTTATTTTTAAATTCACGGGTAAAATTCACAGCTGATGGCAAAGTAACTACTGATATTATTTTTATGATACTGTTATCTATAATAATAATTCATAACACATATTGGTTTGGGTCATTTTGAAGAAATTCTTAAATGTTACATTCAGTAATGTGAAGTCGTGTAATTCTGAAATAAATAGAAATTTTATAGAAATTTTACCTGTAGTTGTATTTTCCATACCTCATTGTACTACTACCGGGTTAGGAATATTCTGATCAACATCCGGTATGCTGCGTGCATTCAATTGGTCTTGCAGGGTTGCAAGTTTTCAGTGTGGAATAAGCTCGGTTATTAAGCATCCTATTTTGGAGGATGTCGGGTGGCCGAGTGGAAGTCACACTGGGACGTGCAACTTGGTACCATTGTCACCAATTCAAATCACACATGTGATACCTTCTAATACACTGTATATAGCATTCCAGTCATGTTTTTTACCCTATGTAATTCTAATACTATGCAGCCAATCGTGATTCCTTTACTCTTCTAACCATACCAACAAAGATATCTTGAAATAGCATTCACCATCATCAAAGCTAAGTATTTGAGATTTGTATTATTCACCAGCCTAAGTCTGTTTTATTCAACCATCTTCTGAGTGCTATACCTTGGCAAATCATGTTCGGCAAGTTTTTATTAAAGTGTGCCCTCTCCGGCAATTTGACATCCAATCATTTTGTTTTATATCTGTTGCCACATGCAGCGACAACTCTGATTGGGATTATGTGTTACAGGTACAGTCAATTAGATTTATTCATTTTACTCAGGTCAAATAAGCAGCCACTCAATAGAATTACACAGGTTTGTGAGGGAAATGTTTACCTCAAGTTTGTGTAACTGTGTGATTTAGACGATGGAGCTACGTTGACTAATACAGACACGCTGCAACAGTCATGGTAAACACATTAATGTGTATCACCATTAGAACAGCCAAAAGATGGCATGGAGACTTACAATGTGCCTGCTTTACCAAAGGTTACTTGGCATGTACATGTATACAAAATACCGTCAAGTTGCTTACCATATTTGCTCTATTAGTAGCACATACACTTAATTGTCAGTAGCATGTCTATGGCCAAAGGAAGTGATATTTGAATGTTCAAAGAGTTAAATAAGAACGATATTTATTGTATTTCCTCCATTGCAAGCATATGCAGCACACAATTACTGCATCAAAGCAGTAAACACAACATAAACACAGCAGTATTTGGTATTCATAATATCGTACCTGTATTTTTCATTATTAATTGGTTCCGGTGGTGTAACAAACACAGTTCTTGCACTTTCAAAAGATTCTTCTAATTCCATCAGTTTTGTCTCTATTTCACATTTAGCATCCACCTAAAATGTAATGTTTCTGATTTATTTTCCATCAATATCTCAGAAGAAATCAAGTGAATTCATTTCATTACACTTAAAAATTATGGCATTAAAACCACACCATCAATTTGTGTATGGTTAATGCCTATACTTGCTGATAACTGTGTATGCTAAATACTTACCTTCTCTGCACACTCATCAAAAAAAGCTAAACTTGCATCATTGTTCGACACAAACGATCTTTCTTCTATAAATCGTATAAACGACTGAGTTTTCATCAGCTGGCTGAACAGTTTATAGTTAGCTCTATCACGACTTTTCAAAAATCCTTAATAAAGAAGAGAATGTTGAAATTAACTAATCTGACTTTTCTGAAAAACAAAAGTGTAGCTAATTACTGACACATGAGGGCGCTGTGTTTCATCAGTACAACACATGTAAACGTATGGGGAAAATGTGTTAAAATAAAATTGTTCATACATCAAACTAAAATCTCTTCAATTGAAAACCAGAAATTGCAGACAAAATTTGGGCGCAACATAGTTTGCACATGTACAAGTACTTACATACTAGTAAATGACATAGATGCGGCTGTAGCTAAAATAAATCAGTTTATGATAATCTAGCGTACAATAACTACAATTTTTTGGTGTACATGTATTTCTATGGTGTATCAAATATTTCATTGCTAATCATCATACAAGATGAAGGAGCTTAAAAGAACCCAACACCACCCACACACCCTCACCTACACCCTAAATATTTATATGCCATGCAATTTCATGCGTTGAAATGACACTGTCTCTAGTTTTCTGGGATGCAAAGACCCATTTTACTGATTTATTTACAGCTAGAAGCCTGTCTACTCGTAGAACTACCGATTAGAAGTTTATTTTTCGAATTCACGGGGTTTCCATCACCCCCTTCGTGTGATAGTGTTCCATTTCCACAGGAAGCACAAGTTTATGAATTTCGCAATTTGTTATTTTAACTAAAACTTGGCATACATTAAATAGTGATTATGTGATTTACTCCGTGTATTGCTTAATAAATAATGCATATCATGAAGTAATAATTACTTCATAATATGCATTTTTTTATGTTTATTTTATAATACACATGTTCTCATCCCCCTTCTCAGATAATGATATGGTCCAAATCTCATCTTGCAAAACTGTAGTTTCATGCACATGTGCCTAACCAGTAACATTTAGTAGGCATAAAAAGTGGAGAACAAAAACATAACTGTGGGTTGTAAAGTGGGTGATTAGCCAGGTCAAGCGGACTGCAATTTATAGGCATGCAGACCTGCTGCTTCAAAGCAATGAGTAAGTATCGCAATGTATTTATGCAAGTGGATATCATATTTGCTCTATTAGTAGAGCAAGTGCTTACGTAAATGACATAGGCGTGTCTGTAGCTAAAATAAATCATTTCATAATGATCCAATAACTGCAATTGTTGGTTTGCATGTGCTTCTGAAGGAGCAAATACGATACATGAAAAATATTGCTCACTATGAGATCAAGAACCAAAAAAACAAAACTTTTATACCCATGTTCATTTAAGTATTATGCATTTCAATTTTCGTAAGAATAACAATTTCGTAAGCTTTCGCAGGAATGAAATTTTGCAATAGTCACCTGCTAAAAAATGTCAATGAAATGTGCAATGCATTAAATTTCACATTTTTCCCCTGAGTCAAGATTTCATGAAAATTTATCCCTCAGTAATGAAGTGTTTTACAAGAGTAGATATTCAGAAATGTAGCAGCACAAAGCTCACGGTACAATGACTGGATTTTCACTGATACAATTTATAAAATCTTACCTTGTAGATCAAATAATGAACTTGGGTCCGTCGTCTGTTCTGTCGGTTTATCTGTAATTGGTAGTAAATACTGTCTATATCCTTTAAACAACGTAGCCATAAAACGAAGAAAAGCTTCCTGGATGGAAAGTTCCATGGAAAGCTGTGAAACACAAAACACCAGGATATTGTTAATTCACAAATAAAATTAGATAGTTATCTGCTTTGGTATGAATCAATATACGACTGAAGAATAATTCTGGCCTATTGCAACTAGTAAAAGCTGTTTTAAAATTTATCCCTATTATTTGTGTTTAATTTGTTTCTTGTTTGTATTCAGTTTAAATCCTGAAAATCTCTATTTAATCAGAAAAATGTAGTGACCTTTAAAATGACATGGGCCTTTAATAATACAAAACAGTTCCTTTAATTTGTTTGAGAGTGATAAATGGGTATGATGAATGACTGTAAAACATGTACAGCTTGAGTCAAATTTGGCTCCAATAAACCTTCAGGATTGAACTTGGATAGGACAGAGGCGTGACAAGGCCCAACTATGTAAACGAGAACCCCTCTCTATCAAACAGGGCCAAATTTCGGACACAATCGTACAACAGATAATCTCCTGTTAATCTACGATAAAGGGGTGTCGAATAAATCGAGCACTAGTCTCCTTGGGATTATCAGAGAACTTGTTTCATCATAGGAGCCAAACGACAAGAAAGCGAAGAGCAACACTAAACTCAGTGATAAAGAAACAGTCTGGCTGTAACAATTCAAAATTCCATAGTAACATGGTTTTTCTTATTAGTATTAAAATCACTGTAATCTAGACTGTGATGCTGACAGTAATAAATACCTGTTTTCGTTTTTTCGTGAAATCGTGATGTAATGGTGCCATTTCCACTGCTAAGTCATCAACATTCTCGCTATACACAGGATTGGTGTAAATCTCAGTGGCAAGACGAGTTAACGTATTCTTTAATTGCTTAGCTGGTCTCTAGATTTGAAATATCAAAAATATTATTATTATACATTTATCATCAGCAAATATTATTGCATGTATTTAATATTGATGGCGATACTTCTATAATGTCTATCGTGATTCATCACAAGCTTAAGGTCACTTTAAATCAAAGAAAGCTTAGAAAGAACTCCCATGTGCTGAGAGTATTGGAGACACATTAAATATAATTCGAAATTACTTAGCTGAAAACTAATTATGCAAATCAGAAAATTAATATGACCAGATTTGAGTGTAAAACTAATGAGGTCTGCGCAATGTAACAGAAAATCTATGTCTCCAAGTTTAATTGAAATGTGATTAGAACCAAAAAATTATGAATTATTATACTT